TAACGTAGCACAGTCTTGTCCTTTGCACATATACATTGGCAAAAGGCAGGGTCTACAGGGTGTTCAGGAATAAGGGGTCAAAGGTCATTAAGGGGTAATTTTCATCTTTTTTTTGGCAACGTTTCAAAACACTACTAGTGCTAAACGGTTGTGCCGATTTCAACCAAACCTGGTCGGTATAATCGGTGACACCTTTCATACATGGGGTGTTCACTGCTTGGGGTCAAAGGTCACATAGGGGTCATTAGGGTAAAACGGCTTTCAAAAAAATGAATAAAAGACATCTTCTGTCCCAAATATCATAGTCTTGTCCTGGGCACATATGTATTGGCATGGTCTTATGGTGTTCAGCGATTTAGGGTCAAAGGTCATTAAAGGGTTATTCTTTTGTTCTCTCTAGTAACATTTCAAAATGCTACTAATGGCAAACCATTGGACCAAATTCAATCAAATATCGTCATTAAGAACCGGCGACACCTCCTACACCCCAGTCTGGGATCAGGGGTCACATAGGGGTCATCGGGGTTAAATTTTTAAAATAGTCCAATTGAGCTCAAATTTACCAAGAATGATCCTTAGGACCTTCTAAACACGAAAAAATACTCTTCACCCCATATGTCAAAGTACATAGGTCAAAGGTTCAAAATGTTACTAAAATGGCAAGCGAATAAACTAAATTCAAACAAAGTTGATCATTAAGAACCAGTGACACCTCCTACACCCCTCTGTCATCAGTGGTTACATTGGGGTCATCGGGGTCAAATTTTCAAAATAGCCCAACTGAGCTCGAATTTACCAGGAATGATCATTAGGGCCTTCTAAATATGAAAAACTACTCTTCATCTATAGGGAAAAATTCACAAGTGTCACTATAGTCAAAATTATCAAATATTGCTAATGACTAACGATTGGACCAGTTGCATTAGAACATGGGGTGTTCACAGGTTGAGGTTAAAGGTCACAGTGGTTATCTCTTAAAAAATGACTGGGTTCATGTTCTATTGAACATAGTATCTCTAGTTCTTTCTTTCTTTCTGGCAACATTTTAAAAGGCTACTAGTGGCAAACTACTGGACCGATTTAATTAAAACTTGGTCAGTAGGACCGGTGCCACCTCTCATTTATGTGTTGTTCACAACTTGGAGTCAAAGGTCGCATAAGGGCATTAGGGTCAAAAAACCAAAAATGGTATAAAAGACTACTTGTCTCACAATTAACGTAGCGCAGTCTTGTCCTTTGCACATATACGTTGGCATAAGGCAGAGTCTATAGGGTGTTCAGGGATAAGGGGTCAAAGGTCATTAAGGGGTAATTTTTATCTTTTTTCTGGCAACATTTTAAAACGCTACTAGTGCCAAACGGTTGTGCCGATTTCAACTAAACCTGGTCAGTATAACCAGTGACACCTCTCATACATGGGGTGTTCACTGCTTGGGGTTAAAGGTCACATAGGGGTCATTAGGTTAAAAAAACTTTCAAAAAAATGAATAAGAGACTTCTGTCACAAATAACATAGCACAGTTTTGTCTTGGGCACATAGTATTGGCATAATGTAGGGTCTCTATCGTGTTCAGAGATTTACGGTCAAAGTCATTAAAGGGTTATTTTTGTTCTCTCTAGTAACATTTCAAAATGGCAGTCCGGGGACCCTAATTACAGGCCTACGGCCTCCTTGGTCCTCGGCACTTGTAGTAGTTAAGTTGCAAATTACAAGTGAAATAAAAATGAACAAATGAACAACCCATTGGACAAAATTAAATCAAATTTCGCCATTAAGAACCGGCGACACCTCCTACACCCCAGTCTGGGATCAGGGTAACATAGGGGTCATCGGGGTCAAATTTTCAAAAAACTCCAATTGAGCTCGAATTTACCAGGAATGATCCTTAGGACCTTCTAAACATGAAAAACGACTATTCACCTATAGGTCAAAAGTCACAAGGGTCACTATAGTGAAAATTATCAAATCATAATGAAAACTTGAGGACACCTGCTCACTGAACGGTTCACTGCACACTTAACACAGTAAATGAGTCCAAATCGGACCCCCTTTTCTCACAAAATCGACTATATTATTTGAATGGTTTCATTTGGCAATCTAGGCCGATCGGATTATAAAACTAGATGTTTTAAGCTTTATAATCATCTATATATTTTTACAATTAATGCAAAATGGAGTGATCATTTTTCTTTCAAAATTGACTATCTCTTATGCTTTTGCATAGGAAAAAGGTTAAAATTAGAGTGTTTTTTGGTATACTTCCTGGTTTTTTTTTTTACCATAACTCTGCAACGACAGGTCGCTAAACTTCGGGGTGAACGGTCAATTGTAACTCATAAATTAAGCTTTCTTTTACCATGTAAGTCCCATGCTGGTTGCTTAAATAACCATTAATCCTTTTTTCTACACAATTTTGTATTCAGAACGGTTTTTACCCTGTCTATGAATGACGTCACGCGCTTAAGGCCAATAGCAGCTACGTATTTCGAGTTTTCTGCGGTTAGTGCGTTCGTGCATAAGATGTAGGTCAAATTTACCTGAATGAGCTTTTGTCGCAAATAGAGGAAAAGGTTTCATTATGATTTCTAGTGAGTAATGATTGGACCAATTGCATTAGACCATAGAGAAACTATTTTCTCTATGATTAGACAGACTCCTACCAAACATGGGGTGTTCACACAGGTTGAGCTTAAAGGTCACAGTGGTTATCTCTTAAAAAATGACTGGGTTCATGTTCTATTGAACATAGTATCTCTAGTTATTTACTGTATAACATGTATGGTTGAAAATATGCACTGTAATAATATATTACGTTTGAATAAAGAAATATGGAGAAAAAAAAGATATAATTATTTATATTAGTTTTCATAAGTTTCTTGGTATTTCACCCTTTAATTATTTGAATTATGATCTTATTTTAATAAAATTGTACACTGTGTTTATTGTTTCCTTTAATGTAATAATAATAGTTCATTCTTATATAGCGCATATAAGCAAGCTCTCAATGCGCTGAACATCCCGGTCATTGGATCAAACACGTATGGAACACATACTCAGCTCCCGGGGAAGAATTCCATAATATTGCAGCCGGTAATCAGCGCAGTTGTGTTCGAACCAACCAGGTACCCACTTGTAATCCTGTGTGGAGAGAGGCAACCGTATATAAGTGCCTTGCTTAAGGACACATACGATTTGCACAGTGAGAGTTTTGAACCATCGGCGCATCGGTTGTGTCCAAGCCACAACCAGTAGGCCAACCACTTTGTAGTACAAATTATGTTGATTATTTTCTTATTTCTATAATTTTACTCTATCTTTGATAAGTCAATTGTTCTTCTACTGTTCATCCTCCAATTCGAGACCACCACTGACCTGGCAATTTGGGTGGCCTTAGGGTTGCCTCCAATTAGGGGGTTAACTTTGTGTTAAAATGTTGAAGATTGTTATAGGTGTGTTTTTATTTGGGGGAGGGGTGGTGAAATAAAAATATCTTGGATTGGAGAGTGCATTGTAGGGCCTACTTTCATTTTGTTAATTATTATTAATATTTCCCATAATTCGTTATTTTTGATAGTTTTAATAATGTATACGAGCAACGAATTTCAGTAAAAGGACACAATAAAGTGTTAGATAACCACAGAAAATTATTTTTAAATTAGGGGTGTCTTCTTAAAGATAGGCCCTTCTGACCGTCATTTAAAAGGTGATATAACTTAAGCCTACACAAGTCAGAAAACTTGAGTCTGTACGTATCTGATGGTCCTAAAATTGTCATTCTTTAAAATCAAAGCCCAGAGCCCTGGACGCCAGAAAGCAATTAGCGGCTCCTTGGCCCCAGCCTACGGCCTCGTTTGACTCTGTACATCCCTAAGATCATAGAGGAATTTATTTCTTCGTGGTTTTAAATATGGGTGGAATTAATAGAACCAGGATCTGTGATAGAACTAAGATCTAAAAGGATCACGGTTCAGCGCACACTCAGTGGCTACTATAAGATTTGCCTTCTATCTAAGCTGCACTTTATATGCTTCACTTACAGCTGAGAATTCGAACGCATGTGAGTTTACCAAATTGCACGTCACAACAATTGCCCTTTAAAAAAGAATTTGTTTTTCGTTGTTATAAAATAAATACATTATATGTTGATTTAAGCGTTCCTGGCGCCACTCTTCATTTCAGTTAAAAGTGCTTGATTTTACACAGGAGTTGAGCAAGTATTGGAAGATATGAGATTCATCAAGGCTTGCTTCCGTCCTTCACTAACATCTCGGCTTTGGAAAAAACCGGTATTGCAGCCTGGGATATTGTGTCATTCCAGCAGTGTACGTGAAACGTATTTAAAATCTGCAATCAATCGTAGGCCGATTGTTAGCATGCCCGATGTTGGAAATGTCCTCACAAATGCCTTAACAGTCAATACTAGGCCTAATACGTGTAAGTATCATAAGCACCAGGTTGATGACTGCCAACAAGAAAGGGATGTGGTTTCAGTAAAGCCAATGCCAGATCACATTGTCATTAAAGTTCGAAACGGCGAGGAGATCAAGACAAGTGGAATGTGGCTTAGAGATCACTGCAGGTAATACCTTTTATTTTGTTTTCCGTGTACGTTCATTCTGCTTATTTTTTTTTTCAAGTTAAATATATATCCAGTAAAGAAAGTGATTTTTTATAATGCTAAAATGATTTACAATTTCAAATAATATACTGTATACATTTGTTTAACTTACGATAACATTGTCAAAGTAATATTACGTATCAAAAATGGAAATTATACGACTAATTAATTCATAAACAAATTTCATTAGGGTTAGGAGAATTATGTCACAACTGAATTATTATTATAATTAATATTATTAGTATTATTAGTATTATTAGTGGTAGTGGTGGTAGTAGTGGTATAAGAAGTATTATTACTATTGTTGTTGTTGTTATTAGGATCATAATTAATAATATTGATATTATTATTATTATTGTTATTATTATTTATACTATTGTCATTTATACTATTGTCATGATTATTTCCAATTGATTATGTTAAAGGTATTATTATGATTATGATTATTATTAATAATCACAATAATTATTATTACGCCTATTATTGTCGTCATCATTGGGCCTATTTCGTAATTTGTTTTCAGATGCGATTTATGTTATAGTGAAAGCCGCAACCAGAGTCTTTATGATCCGGGTAGTATATCTAGCAAACCAACAATAGTTGAATTGATCCATAACGAAAATGAAATTTGTGTTGAGTGTAAGTACCTCTTTGAAACATTCCCAATAGACAGTTCTTAAATTGCCAAGAATGATAAAGAGGTGCAACCTTACTGTTGTTCTACGTTTTCATGGCACGCACATATAACCTTCATGAAATGAAAAAAATATTTTTTTAATTTTAAATATATATATATATATATATATATATTTATATATATATATATATATATATACATACATACATACATACATACATACATACATACATACACCCATACATACATACATACATACACACATACATACATACATACATACACACATACATACATACATACATACATATACATACACATATGTGATATAAAAAAAAAAAATTATTCATTTTAAATTAAATTTTATTCCAAAATACTTTTATTCGATTATATACGTTGTTGTTAAAAAATGATATAATAAAAAAAAAGAGTAGAAATTCTATGATGGTAATGAAAAGAACTGGAAAATATTTTGAAAAAGAAGGAAATATTGTACTGTACATATTGTTTGAATAAAGGTGGTGGTTACGCCACTAAAGAGAGAGAAAAAAGGGTCATGCCCTGTGAAATATGCGCACTTGTCGATTGTCCTTGTTTCTTTTCATAAATAAAAAATAGACTTGATAGTTAAAAGGGAATCCAGGCTACTGAACACTGTTGAAAGAGTAACCCATATTATGTAAATACATTCTAGCTCAACGTTGCCTTTTCTCTTCCACACCTAGGTTTCATCACGCCTTCTTAGATCAGTATAGTACCCACTACACTAATTTTTTTGATGATCAATTTTCTAGTATACTTCGCTTACGCAGATATACTCTATGCTGTGGAAGTGAAATTCCTATGTAAATTGGAATATGTTAAGGTTCAGTTCATTTCATTTGTTTCTCCAACTCGGTATGCATGAACCGATTTTTTGAAAATACACTTTTTCTGAGATTTTCATCTAGGCCTATTCTGATATCTGGTCAAATTTAAAATCACAAAATATTGCCTAAAAAGTATTAAAAACACTTTAAACGATTTTAACCTGAATATAGTGCATAGGCCTAATATATAATTGTATCTGTGCGCGTTACAAAAAGAAAAAAAGAACACAAGAATAAAATAACCATTGTCATTATTGTATTTGTAGTAAATCGTACCTCATTTCATTCCACCTTATATCTACCCCGAGCTCCTGTTATATACTCCTACTTTTGGAGTCCTTAGGAGGTCGACTATACCTACCAGGAACCTAACGGCACACATGTAACAGAAGCATGGGCGCCGATCCGTTGTGAAAAGTGGAGGGGGGCGGTCCATGTGGCGAAGCCCCTGTAAGCTCTGGCGTCTATCGCCTTTTATAAGTCGTATGTAATTGCTTTTAAGGAATGCAACTAAATTTTATTTCCACACATCAAAATACAGTGGCGGATGCAGTGGGTGTGGGTCAGAGGGGGCAGGGCCCCAGATTTCGGCCATAATACACTTTAAAAATACAGTGGCTAAGAAAATTTATGATTATGGCACCACCTCTAGTTGGCCGGAAATGGCACTCTCAGACCAGGAAACAGTTAAATTAGTAGGCCTAATTTAACTGTTCCCTGCTCAGACTTAATTTGACTATAATTTTCTTTTTTCTCCACTTTAAAAATTTTGATAAAAAATTAGGGTGGGTGGGCCGGCTGGGCTCCCTTGACTCTGCCATTGAAATACTTTTTATTATTTTTTTTTAAATTATTTATCCTGGTAGTCATAATCATGCCCGCTTAAATATTTTGTGCAAACTAACATTCATAAAAATAATAATAATTTATTATCTACTGAGTTGTGACGTATTCCAACCATGAAAAGCAAATCACTCCAATTCTATAGTCCAGTGGTTCTCAACTATATCGCAATAGGGGCCAAAAGTGTTCATGGAATACATTTGAAGGCCCAGAAAAAGAGGTGTACTATGGCGTGTAGCGCAATCGCAGGTGCGAACCGAGGGAGGGTTTGGGAGGTGGTGGCCCCCTTCACGAATTAGAAATTGTTTGAAAATAGTAAGTCACTAGACGCTCGTACAGGACATGTTGACCTAAGAAAGTTAACCTTGTGTTTGGTAATGCAAAATTCAAAATGTCATAGGCCTATATCACACAATGGGTCATCGGTAATATTTCTTAGCTGTTTGCTACGATAGTTTTCGATAGTTTTTTTCTGATTTGATTGATTAAATTTGTGAGCAATACATAGTCCTAGTCGGCAAAACAGAATGGAATCTAGAAATCTAGGTCCAAGCCTAACGGAAACCATTATTTTTGGCTTGTTCTCGAGTACCGGAGATGACCGTAGGCCGCCAGTTGAGAACCCCTCTTTGCATGTACAGTACTTTTAAAATCCGATGGTGTCTGGTGGTTAATGACTCACTTCGCAGAAAAAAATAAATTTCTGAATTTTACTCAAATTTACATTTTGTGCACCTTAATCCAGCATTGTCAAAATCAGTTTAATGTTATATAAGAACATGAATATTTATAATTAAAAAATTTTCATTTGCTATAATTTTTCATTTTGTAGGTCAATTTTCACGAATCAAATTGTAGTTTTTAGAATGCAAAATTATTAAGGTTAGAAATAGTCTCTTTGTACGGTACATTTAAAATCGATCAAGAGAGGTTTTTTCCTTTCCTCCTCTTTTTGAATTTCACTTGTGTACAAGTAGTATTGCGACTACACTATTGTGAGTGGAAATACTGCCGCTAGCTTACGATCAAACGGGACTCTGAAAAGATTGGATGCCCACAAAACATCAGTTAGCATTTTTATTTCACAAACATAAAAGGTGATTGACTTAAATAAGTTTAAATAGACAGACCTATCCGTGTCAAAGGCTGTATAAAATAATTGTTTAATAGACTTAGCCTCTGATCAGCGTCACCCATAAAATCGATGGAGCGGTTATAATGGTTACGAAATGTACAAATAATTGCGTTTTTACTTAATATTGGTCTGGAAATGCGCACCGCACTTGGAACAGAGCACAAGTGCAGAGACAAAATTCATAACAGGCATTCGTAAAAATGGGGTTTTAACTATAAAAGATTGGTGAAAAGAAGAGGGATTCCATTGTTCATACATGTTTTTTTAATCTATTTACAGGGGACGACGGACACCGAAGTGCCTATGAAACGACCTGGATTATGAACTGCCTGCTAAACAAACGACCTCGATACCCAAATAAGCAGCTATGGAATGTTGAAAAAATAAAATCTGCAAACATTTCAATGATTTCTTATAAAGATTATATGAATGAGACTGACGCGTTGGCTGAATGCCTAAGAAACCTTTATACATACGGACTAGCTTTCGTAGATGATGTTCCGGTAAATAGAGAGACCTTAATAGTAAGTGATCTTTTTTTTTTTTTGTATTAACCCTATATAATATTTATATTAGTTTTTGATAAGATGGTGGCGGCGGCAGTGACCATGACGATTATAAAAGAGCTTCATGTTATTGTATCTTATATTTTGATATAGGAAATATCGGAGAGAATAAGCTTTTTAAGAGAATGTGAACACGGAAAAGACGATATTTTCGTATCAACGTCGCAGACGATGTACAAGGATATAGCATTCACAAATCAAGATCTTGGCTTCCATGCCGACAGTGCTTACAATGCAGAACCTCCCGGGTATTTCACTTCTTTAATAAGTTTCAGAACATCGCTGTTATTTTGTCATCACACACACACACACACACACACACACACACACA